ATTGGAAAAAAATGAAGATCAAATTCAATTGCAAGAAAAAATTAAAATTAATATTAATATACCTGTTGAAACTCAAGGACTTTTTGATCAAGTAAAAAAGAATTTATATAAGGCATTAATTCATTATTTTGAACCTACCTCCTCAGAAGCTCTTTTGGCTGCTCTTCTAGATCCACATTTCAAAAAATTAAAATTTGTTACACAAGAACAAAAGAAAGATGCAGAGAATGAATTATATAAATAATATGATAATATAAAGTTAGATCAATCTAATCCTACTCCTTTACCTCCAACTCCATCACAACAACAAAAAAAAAGATCACTTTTTGATGCCTTTACCAGTCTAAAAGTAGCTAAAAATGAAGTAATTGAATATTTAGAATTAGAAAAAATCTCATTTGAAAAAGATCCGTATGCTTGGTGAAATGAAAAAAAAGAAAAATTTCTAATTATAAGTCAATTGGTTAAGAAGATGTTGGGTATTCGAACAGCATCAACCCCTTCAGAAAGGTTATTTTCAGATGCGGGTAATATTTTGACCGTTAAAAGATCAAGAATTAAACCCGAATTATTTAATCGTATTATGTTCTTGAAAAGAAATGGTCATAATTTTATTAATATTCATCCTCCAGCTGAATAAGCTATAGTTTATAATACTTAATTATAATAAAGGTTTTGAAATTTTTGGCTTTAATATTTTATAAACGATTTTTTTATATAAATGTTTAATTGACGATTCGTGATACAAGTACACATGATGATCGACATTAATTATAAAAATGCGGGATTATAGAGTAATAGTAAAAAAGTTTTTTTCTCAATCTGGTTCCTTTTCATATTAGCTTGACTAATTACTTTATGACAAAACGTAAACGAGTTTCTCCTAGACTCATTTCTATTGGGTCTATAGTATCTTGACTTCACTATGATGCATTTTCTTATAAGTGGTGATTAATTAGTACTAATTCTAATAATATTAACGAACTTTATCCAATACGTGTTGGTTTAAGCATTGTTATTGAATTAAATGACGTTCAATTTTACTTGAAAATTATTGAAGGTAACAAAAATAATGCTTATTTACCTGGATATCTTTGTCAAGCAAATGACAAATCAAGTGACATTGAAGAAACAACAAGTGCTGCATTAACAAACTTGTACCAACAAATTTTTTCAACAAAAACAAAATTTTCTGGACTGCGTGAGTTTGGATTAGATAATCAATCAATTATTCTTGAACATCTTTTGGAGGGTGTTAATTTTCGGCCTTTTTTTGTTTATTTTGACAAATTTCAAATTTTTGTATATAATATTGAAAGTTTAAGTCAGGATGGTTATGAAGGTACAGGTTGTGGGTTTATGTCATCACTTAGCATCAAGGGAAAAAGAAAGATTTTTTATGAACAAAAAATAACTGAAAGTTTTTGTATTGTTCGAGTATTTGAAGAATTTTATGAGAAAGAAGTATTCAAAGGAAAAACTCCCAATAATGTTTGGAATAAAATTGGCTTATTTCTTATGTTTGATGGAAAAAATCTTTTTGGATTAATGGATCCAAGAACTCAACAAATTATAAAAAAAAAATTTCGTCCAGCATGTCAACCTAAAGATTGGATAGAAAAATCTAATTTGGAACCATTATATTTACATTTTCTTAAACATTATACACGTACCAATATTCAGTAATATAAAGTTTTTTCTGATTGGAATAAACAAACAAGTGATATTATTGAATTAAAATCGGCTTTAAAAAGTATTTATATGTCCGATTATGCATTTAAACCACGAGAACTTCGTGCTTGGTATGCTTTATTAAAAGCAGCAGGATGTTTTAATGTAACACCTTATCCATTTGATGACCAATTGGTAATGTATAGTTTAATAACAATTTATAATTTTTTTTAATAAAAAAAATTATAATATTTTATTTTCTAATTTATTTTATATTTTTTATTATATAGTGTGAATTTTGGACAAGAGCAGAAAATTGGAAAAAAGATTTAGAAATAATGCAAATGTTACATGAAAAAGGATTATTATATGTAAATTTGACTTGCAAAAAATCTGAATTATGCGTCTCAAATTCATGTGAGCAAACGAAAAAACTGGCTACAACTATCACTAAAGCAATTGATAATAATAAGAAAGGAGTTAATGGTAAACGAAGAATTCTTTCAATAATTGCTGAGGATTATAGTTTAGAACAATTGAAAATACTAAATGTAAGTATACAGTATAGTATATAAGATTTTGATTGTATTTTATTGATTTGTGTTAATTTATTAATATATTGACATTAATAATTTAGATAAAAACAACATCACATACCTTGAATGAAGCCCGAAAGTATGCGCGACTTAATGGACCAGGATGTTCTCCTATAGAATAACCACTAATTACACGAAATTGCATATCAGATGAAGCTAAAAAACAAATTGAAATTTTTTTTTCTAATAAAGAAATTGTTACAATGAGTTCATATAAAGTAGATGCTAAAACTGGTCTACTAATTCTTTATCTTCAAAATACAAAATTTGCTCTTTGGGAACAATATTCAGAAATTTTTCCAAATGGAATTAAAAGAACAACATTTATGGCGGAATTAGCAAAAGGAAGATATCAATATCGAAAAGATTATGTTCAACCTGTTGTAATTATGGTTATGATGTTTTTAATGATTTGATTGGTTTAATATCTTCAAATATTAGAATTTCAGATAAAAAAGTAATTATATTCAAATATATTTTGAAAATTTCTAATAAAAATTTTTTATTAGTCAAATATAATTAGTCAAATTGAAATGTTATGTCGCTATATAAAAAGAGAATTTGAACGGGATTTATCTGTAGATCTTAATAGAAAACTAAAACATAATTTTTGCATTTCTCATTGTCTTGCATATTCGTTAGGTATATGTAAAGACTTACATACGACTGTTTGTTCAAGTTGTGAAAATCTTTAGTTAATTTTTAAGCAACTCGAAGAATATTTAGGATAAGACCATTTGGAATCTCTTTTAGTTAATCAAGATAAATTGATTTATTATATAGCCCACTTAGTGCGAAAAGTATATCTAAATAGTCAATTTGAAATTTATCTCAAAATCTTGATCAAAATAGTGTGTTAATTATAGTAGATTATAAAATGAAAATACTCAAACAATCAACAAAAGAAACAAAAGAAGATTTTTTTAGAAAGAGAGGATAGACCTTACATACCGTATTATTATTTACTAAAGAAGAAAATGCTCAATTGGATGTTTGTGCATTTGATCATTGGTCAGATGATCAACATCAAGATGCATACTTTACTGCATCATCTCTTCATGCAGTTATTACTTCTCTTGAGAAAAGACCAAAATGGGTAACCTTCATTTCTGATAATGGACCTCACTATCACAATTCAGAACTAATGGTTATACTCAGCCATTGGTTTGATTGATATCAAGTTGAAGTTAAAAAGTGGTTATTTTTAGAACCGGGAGAAGCAAAAACAATGATTGATTCACATCATGCACAAGTATGTAATAATATTTTTTTGTTTATAATTAACTAAAAATCTAACACTTACTTTATATTAGATTGCATATGCAATCAGACGATTTGTACGCTTAGGATCAGACTTGATAAGTGGTTCCTAAATCGAAGAGTCTATTCAAAATATTCAGGGAACATCAGTTATACATTTAGAATCTAATAGATCAAAAAGAAAAAAAGTAGAGACATTAGCTGGAATAGCCAAACTGTATGAATGGTATTGGCTATATGAAGGGGAATATAATGGCTTTATTTAAGCACGCAAATTACCTCATATTAGAGATTTTATAAATTTTTCTCCTACAAGGATTGCTAAAATAATCTCTGCTCCATTAGAAAAACCTGAACCAGAATTTGATACTCATACAACGCCAAAAGCTCAATGGTCTATACCAGTGCCAAATATTTTAGGTATTATTAAAATATTATTATATTAATCAAAAAACAGATATACTAATAATAAATATTATTTATAGGTATCAAACCTAATCGATTACGTATTACTCAACTTCATGACGAACTAAATAGATATAAAGTAAATTTTGATCCAAAATCAATACATGCACAATTAGTTAATCTTTTAAATGAAATATTGAAAACTCAAACTAAATAAAGTAAGTTTTTAAAAAAAGTTTCACATACCAAACTTTTTTTGAAATAAATTATTGACAATTTTTACAGATAATACAGACGCTACCCAGCAATACAAACTTCCTTTTGAAGTAATAGATATGACTTCACAGCTAAATGAAGATAGTAGGTTAGGATTGAGTTTTTTAACCAATAAGTAATATATTTTGTTTGATTTTAAATTAATAAAACAAATAATTACCTTTTTTAACAGAAATTGTATGTTCCGATTAGAAAGTATTTAGGCATTACGTGAAAAACAAAAGTTTGGTAAAAAAGGTGGTGATAAAAGAATTCTAAAGGAAGTTGTTGAGTTATTGAAAGGTTATTTCCATAGCGGAAATACACCTGGTAAGTCACATTTATCAGCTGAAGATATGATGAAAGAATTACATATGGCTGCAGAAATGGGATATTTGGCAAAAGAAAAAATACCACAGAAAGTTGATACAATTAGAGGGTGGATCTCAAGATATTCAGCGCATATAAAGGCGGAAGCAGCAAAAAAAGCATTAACTACCAGTGGTAATTTTCAGTAATAAAATCTCAAGCTCAAGTAGGTATTATTTAGAAATCATATATTTGGTTATAATAAATTTCACACTGAAATCCACACGTTTTGTATATAAAAGCTCTTAAAAAATGAGTTGTGTTAAAAATTTTTTTTACAAATAAAGATTTGTATTAATTGGCTATTAATTTCCAAAATTTTTTTTTATATTTTAAATGTAAAAATACTTGTAGATCTTTCAGAAAATTTTCAATTTATATGATTATATAGTTGATCTTCACCAAATTTTACTAATTGCAGATCTCTATTTATTACACGAATTACAAATTAAATGTTTTATTGATCTGGATACTTAACACAAAGATAACGGATTAATTCAGATGAATATCCGGTTTAATAAAAAAAATTTTATCAGGTAACCGGATATGAAAATTCTTAATATAACAGATCCTTTTTATCCGGATACTATCCGGATACAAACACTAGCTTGAAGTGAAGCAAGTAAGACAATATTCCAACTTATCTTAGAAATACAATTTCGCTAATTCAGGATCATAAGGGAACTGATTCCCATTTTTGCAGTACCATTCGCCATGTAATTCATAATTTTCATGTATTCTATCGCAAATAGGACATGATGAGCTCCACAGCTGAGGTGATGCAAAATTATAATTATCAATTCCCCTAAAACTATTTCAGAATTTCAGGTATGTGAAATGCTCTAAAATGGATTTGATAATTAATTTTGGATCAGGCTTGACTTCATAAGCGATAGGCTTAAAATCAGAGCCTGAGGTTCTGCTGACATACTTGTCATAGCTTTGGCAACTACCATGGTTCATGTCCAGTTTCTTTTTTATATATTTTGTATAAATTAGAATGAATCTTATCTGTCAAAATACCTGGTAAATCAGTTAATTTGGCATGCCAATCCAGATATTCAGGGGTTAATATTTTATACTGAATATCAAAACTTTTGGATATTAGACAAACAAATTCCTTAATTTTTTGTATCCTTTTAGGGATAACGATTTCCAGTTTTTCATCGTACCATACTTCAAGAAAGAAAATTCTATTATCTTGACAAATACATCATTTTCACCAATCACAATTAACAATGTCTTCAAGTTTTTTAACATCTTTATATCAGCTAGTATTATGAAACTGATGCTGAGCCTCTTGCACCTCTAATGCAATTTGATATTTTTGAAAGAAGGCATCAAGCTCTAATCCATTCAAGAAAGGAGAGCGATATTCAATTATAGGTTCCTCATTAAGAATTTCCTTAACTATCTAGATGCATCTAGTCTAGAATTTGCGATTTTTCTTAGATTCTCTTTCTGCCTGATCCTGCTCTAGTTTTAAAATTCTAACCTCAAGTACTTCAATCCTAGCTTTTTCGTCAGTTTTCTTAGCCTCAAGTTCATTGATCAATACTTCAAGATCAGATGACATGATAGATAATATTTTTATACATTATTATACGAGTCGATTGTGAAGTCTACCGACTAAAAAATAGACTTTAATGCGTATAGCAACGTTTTAGGTATCTGAAGGATAATAATTTATGTTAACAATCCTAAAGTCTTGTTAGCGTCAATAGAATTATCAATGTAAATCACTATAATCAATGTATACGTTTATATATGTATGTATATATATGGGAGAGCAATAATGATAGATTGGGTTTTATATTACAAGTTTAACTAATTAAAGTTATAAGGTAAAAGGTTGGTTTATTAATTAGAGAAATTAGGATCAATACCATTCAATAAT